CAAACAAACGAAAAAGGCAAAGAAAGAAGGGGTGGGTGGGGTGGGGTGGGGTGAGGTGGGGTGACTGGCTCAGGCCCAAAGGCCTGGTCAGAAAGTCGTAATCGGCGCTCCCTTGACTGAAAAGCTTCAGTTACACCCGAAAAGCCATTCGCGAAGAAGAAAGACCTAGAAAACGAAGAGCGACAGAAAGAAGAAAAGCAAGACATGTCTGAAGTGATTACCTAGCGGCGTGCCATGCTCCTATGAATACTTAGCCGCATGGCGTATCATTCTCTGGAAGATGGTCAGTGAGCTCTGCAGCTTGTAATCAGCAATCTCGAGCAAACAGCTGAATCGGTGGCGGTCGTGCAAAACCGAAAAATCAGTCAAGGATCCCCCTCAAGGGTCCATGCTCAACACGCCCCTCGGCGGGGTTCACACAACAGACCTCAGTGGAACCCTGTTGCGGCACTCACTTAGATCGTGGCTCGCAAGACCTGTATCAGTTTTGATTTCCCTGTGAAGCTAGCCTCTATGTTATTGAGAATTAGACCTTGACTTGCAGAACAGCATGAAGTGCTGGGTCGATGCAACAGAATTTTTCAACAAGAACTCATTAGCACTTTACCAGCGAATTAAAGGAGGAGTGATGGCCACCAGCTGCGTCTTACAAAGCGCCCAGGCGCACCATTGCAGGTATACGTTTGCACGTCCAGACTGGACCCAGAGTCCCCTGCTCTGTACAAATGAAAGTCGGTGCATGACATCCTTAGTGTGGTCATATTACTTGGAAACAGGAGTTGGCACACAAACACACACTCACGCTTCTTTTCCTTTCTCTTTTCATGCCTTCTCCGCCTTCATGCCCTGTCATCTCATTCCTTTCTTGCTTTTGAATGCAGATCGGTCCGGCCCTTAGCGTGTCCGCACACATGTACTTTTATGCTTATATCCCAGGTTTCAGGTCGCCCAGGTCTTGATAATGAGGTCTGGTTCCTTTTGGAATCACAGGAAATCCGTTGATTGAATTTATAGCAGGGGAGTGGAGCAGGCCTGCAGAGCTCCACTTAACAAAGCTCTCTGCAGTGTCCTGAGGATATCACTGTTGTGATGTTCACAAGCTGCTGCTGCATTCTGCCGATGAGTACGTCCATCGTCATCCTTTCGTCGACTTCGCACCCTCATTACTCATCTTTACGCCTATTTTAGGCTTTCAAAACCTAGGTGGGCGTGTGGCATGAGGCGTTCAGTTCAGTACGCAATATCTCAAGTGTGTGTGTGTGTGTGTATGCGTGTGTGAAGTGGGGAGGATCCGCAAGCGCTGTCTGTGCATCAACGTCCTTGACGAACGGAGCAGACGCATCCGGTCACCACACCTCCAGGTTTCGCTTCTTCACATGCCATCAGAAGAATGCTGCGGGATCCATGGCACGGTTCCTTGCCAAGAGTGTGGTAAGGTTTGAGAGAAACCGGTGGGAGGATAGTGCAGCAGAGCTTTGAATTCCCCAGAGATTTGATGGGTTCACCTCACCTTGACTGGATACCAATGTCACCTCCTTGTCACAGTTTGTGCTTTGCCACGGCACGCCGCACAGAGAATCACATTGCTAGGCAATATAAAACAATATGTCAAGAGATGTTGAAAGAGAGAGAGGGAGGGAGGGAGAGAGAGAGAGAGAGAGAGAGCTTGCTCATTGTGTCCGGGACATGTGCCCCCCGAAGGAAAAGTTGCTGATCTAGTTGATTTGCGCAGATGCAGACCGATACCCTTTGTTTACCCAAGCAACTTCCACCAGAGCAGGTGATGGCTCGTTCATCGTTTTGACATGAAAGGCTACACAAATAATCAAAACACCGGCCAAGTTTGGGAAACGTTTCTGCACATCGTTCGGCCCAGATAGCTAGGGTGTGCCCCATTGCCATTATTAGTCGGTAAACTATTCCCACTTTGTTGAACAGATCATCAACAATCATCATCCACTTTCACGGGTGGAGGGATGCAACAACCCAATAGCTCAGAGTTCGCTTCAAAAACTAGTCAAGCCCTCAGGCTTCTGAAGATGGAACTCGAAGCCCGCATGCCTCTTGTCGGGAGTTTGCGGGTGACGTTGGGCATGCGGCATGCCCGACATATACTTTGTAATTTTCTTGGAATGGTTTGGAGTGGAAATACAACCCCTTTGCAGCCAGTGCATTTTTGACCGTGTTTGCCAGTTTCGCATGTTGAACATTGCCAGCGATCTTGGTGCAGTTCCAGCGATCATGTTTTTTCCCTATCACGTGCCAAGTCATGGTTTTTATTTACGATCAATAAGCACAACGGGCACTGCTGGTGGTGCAACTTTTCTTAGACTTACGTATCGTTTTAAACACAACATCTCCCGCTGCATTTGAGATAATTAGAAACCATACCTACCTACAGGACGAATTCATGTTAGTCCAGCTGCACGCTGGCACCCAAGTCGTTCTTTTGTGCCAGCTTTGCCAGCCCTTGTCCCACAATGTTTGCCATGTGTCCACTGGAAAAGTCTATTTTCCGCACCTAACACTTCAAGCCAATAACATCCAATAACTACATACTGCACAATAATAGAATAGCATCATGTACGACACTTTGTCCATTTGGTTGTCCATTTGGATGGAGATGGTGCATCACATCAAGACAGCAAACTCAGTTTCTAAGCCTCCAAGGAATAAACATAGATTACACATGATTAAACATAACCATTGAATGGATCGCGTTGAACATCGTTGAATTGTTGATTGTTTAACGATTTATCACAGTTGAACTCGGGAAACAAACATACTACAATTGTAAAAAATGTTCCCATCGTATGTGAATTCGTTTGCTTTTTCATGCACCGCCGGGAATTGCTCCTTTCTTGGTTGCGAGCGTTTGTAGCAGGGACGGCTTTGATCACTTCCTGGGACTTACTGTAATCCCGCCTGACAACACGGAAAGGTCGGACAGGACCCCACAATGATGAAAAACACACATTTTTGCTGTTCAAATGGTTTCAATGGTACTTCCTGCTCAATGATATCGAGGAGACCGGTTGCGCAACCTTGCTGGTTCAGACCCCAAGGGAATGTTGGAGACCGTGTTGAACAGAAAGCCGAGTTGGACGGTCTCGATTTGGTGGATCGCTGCGGGAAGTTTATTTCAACTATAGAGCTATGATGTTTGAATCAGTAAGTTGTTTTTGAACTATAGAACTGTGCTGCTTGAGACGCACTCACTTCCCCATCAAAGCCGGCATCGACGCGCTCCTTGTGTTCTGACACTCCTTTGTCCCTGATCGCTGCAAACATGTTTCCCAAAGGAGGGCTGACATTTGAGGGGACCAATACGGGCGTGCACAAATTTGAAACCGACACCATTGGATTAAATATAACGTGCAAATTCCAAAACAGTAGGATCGTCACTATTGATATTGAACTGCGCAACAACTTGAGATTTGAGACGTCTTCTGGAAAATGTGTGGGCAGGCTGTTCTGCATTGCCTTTTGGGTAGTCACGTCATGTTGCATGCATGTCACAACACCATTGCACGACTCTGTTGGCTGCACTAGCGCAACGCGCATCTCAAACAGTGTTCACCTTATTCTTTGCACTGTTTGTATAGTTACTGTCAATTTAGTTGCATGTGCCTGCGCATCCTGCTCTATCCTGCAACCTTGCGTGGACTGTGTATCTGCAGAAACCGACCAAGCCCTTTACTTACCTTACTCTCCAAAGCTGCGTGGTCAGCTTTGGACTGTATGCCGTTTCCCCCCAAAAAACACTCGCACCGGGCGTTCGGGGCAGGAGGTGCGTCGTCTAGACAGACGCACGACGTGTCGACGTGTGTTCGTGCCGTCTTCGCGACGGCGTTGTCTCCAAGGCCAGGGACTAAGACATTCATTGACTGTGATGACCTCAATGATCTCACACGACTTTTCAGCTATGTGGGCCAGGAGAGCTGTCGGGTCGCGAGAAACGCGGCCACGGGGCGGGCGCCGTGCGGAGGCGGAAAAGCTGGCGGGTTTCCGCGGCGAAGGGGTGGAGATGACGAATGCGTTGACTTAGGCATGGTGATATAAGTTATACTACCGGGAAATGAGATAGGAGTTGTGAAAGTATGGTGGGAACAAAGAATCCTGTCTCATTAGCCCAGCAAATTCCTATGTCATCAGCCCTGAGTATAATACATGGTAATACATGGTAATACTGTTTTGCATTCTTCATTGCATGTACATGTGAGATGACGTTGCAAACTGGTTTAGGTTTACCCGTGGGTTTGACCTTTCGGTGGTGAAGGCTTTTGGGATTGGAAAGATCATGGCTTCGCCTCGCGTCGCGATCCATGTTTATCAACATCTCTTTTGGGTGGGCAACCACACCCCACCCATGATGCACATACACGCGCCAGGACACAGACACCTTCTTGGTGCTTTGCAGTCCGGCCATCCTGACCCGAAAGTGGTGCGTAGGTGAGATTTTCACCGCACGAGTGAATCAAGTCCCAACCCTCCTGCTCACATGGCCTGACTTTACCTTGCCAAACGTTGCTGGGCTGAAGAGAGCGGACGGGGATTCTTGTGGAAGCCCAGCATCAGGTGCTGTTCTGCACGCCAAGTCTGGGTGGGTCTGTGCGGAAGGTTTTGCTAAGAGTAGAAGTTCGACGCCCTATTTGAGACAAACATGTTCAAGTCTTGCAAGTGCTGTCCATTGTTCATGGCGAGATGCTGGGAGCTGCCAATTGTCACACTTGTATTGCTGGCTCACTTTTAGCCCAGGCCGAAAGGGCTAATGTTTTCCTTGTG